CAGACAGCCTTCGTGTAGCTCTGCGCGAAATTCAAAAACCAAATAAATATTTTTTAAAATCGATATAAATTACTGTATTTTAAAGTTTCCATGAAAAACTTTAATTTAAAGTTTTTTTCTTTTTTTTTTGATATTTCACCTAAACATGTCAGTCAAAGGCTAGGAGAGGTGATTTAATCCCGTTCCAAATTTGGGTTTCATTTAAACAAATTCTCAACTAAATGAGTACCCGACAGACACACACACACAAATACCTTTCTAAAATCAAAAGTGAAATGATAAATTTCTGAATGATACATACTCACCATTGATAAAACATTGAGAAGGGCAAGCAATCTGTGAAGAAATCACACCGTACAAAATGTATCCGTTCGTGTCATCTGCTTCCTCTTGAGGTAGGAAATGTAATTCCGGAGTTACACGAGGTTGTAATGGCGGCTTGAGACGGGATAGATGGAACAGACGTTTTTGGACTGGATTGTATACTCCCATTACTTCTGGAATCTCCCCTTCTTGAAGGAGCTCTTTTACGAAGGTTTCCCAGTGATTCAAATCTGAAAAAAGTTGATCTAACTGTAGCCTCTGTAGTCGTAATACCCGTTGACGGCCAACTTCTACTCTCTGGATATGCTGGAGTAAATGCTGATGGTGAGTTTCAATGGCTGTCATATATTGGAAAATAAACGTCTCTACTTCATCCCGCGTGTGTTTAATTTGTACGTGAAGCTGCTTTTCGACTTCCTGGATTTTCTGGAGAGCAATTTGAATATCATTCTTTCTTTTTACCACATGGGTCATAATTTTTTTTAAAAAGTGCGTTTTACTTTCAAAAACTTTACTAAGATCACTTACTTGGTGATCCATGTGATTGTCAAGCTTGCAGTTGCCACATAGCATATGTTGACACGTTTCACACCAACTTGTGACAACCGATGACGTGTGAAGTAAACAAGTGTGTTTCGTGTGTCCAGTAAAAACTTCCTTCTCGCTTGCTTCCTCTAAAGTCCACAAAGAGTGAGACGAGCTCTGCTTTTGGCGACGATGAGCTTCTGCGCAAAACGAGCACAGGAATACAGCACAGTCTTGACAGTAATTCGTTGCTTCAGCTGACACAGTACACAAATCACATTTAAACAGTTTTGAAGTATTATGTAAATTATCTGATGTGAGTTTACGTTGAAGAAGGTAATTTGGAGTCAATCCTCGAACGCCATCCCTGTTTACATCCACAATACTCTCACAGGTAGGACAGAGCACTGTAAATGCACGGGTTGACCTGCCATCTCGATAACTTGACTTTCCCCAAGTTAAAAAATGTCTTAGACTAGATTTTGTTTTCTCGTACTCGGAGGTTAGACTACTTTTTGACGAATGGCGATAAAGGCTGTCAAGGGAATGTTTTAATATGTCAGATCCTAAAGGTTCTAACGTAGTCAGACACTCGGTACAAAAAGTGTGAAGGCAGGGTAAGAGTCGTGGTTCGTGGTACTTGCGATGACACAATCCACAAATAATCTGAGGTTTTTCTGTTTTGGGTAAGTGACTGGACATTCTGTATCATTAAACAATAATTAGTGTTTAAAACAAAAGTTATTAAAACCAAATACATAAAACATAGCATTATAATAAGTTTTGTGCTAAATCTACCCGCCTCCCCCCACAAAAATAAAAGATTTGACAATTACTGTGTAGTAAACCGTTTCTTTCAACTCATATTTTCAGTTATCAAACATTTTTTATTTGTACATTGACTTTGGTCTTCTTCTGAACTGTAAACTATGTCATAATGAACAGTTTGAAGTTTTTAGTTTATCGATACTATTTTTTGTATTTACTTAGAAAGTTCCCTATACTACTATAAATAAAAGTAAAGAAAGTTGGGGTCATGTTCAGTTTTCAAAGTCTGGCAATCTTTCAGTATTCTTGCTGGAAGGTATTTTCTTTTCACACAATTAAATCGTTGAGTCTCAAAATTCTGATATATTTATGCCAAAATAACATATTTCAACTATTCAGTTTTTATTACTAATGAATTTCGTTTAGGCGATTTCCAGAGCACATTCCCAAACTTTCAAAAATCTAAAGATATAAGTGAAACCTGAACAAAACATTTAAATATCATTGCTGGTTGTAAGCTTTGCGGATAGAAGCGTGTCTCAGGATTTAAAGATGTGTAAAAGTCTGATATAGCTTAACATTTTAATAAACATATGATTTCAAGTTCCTACGTGAAGTAAGCAGAAACATGGTTTCAAAGTTAAATTGGATATTAAAAGTTACTATGAGGTAACGCAAGGTCGTTCTTTAACTCATTACGAAACAGTTATAAACAGAAATATGTTATAAAACTAAACTACTAAGTGTTACGTAGGGTGTACTTCAACACAATTTTTAGAACTTATTTAAACAGTTTTTCAAGGTGCAAGAATGTTAAAAACGAGGGAATCGATCCTCAATAGCCGCGGCACTTGAAATTATTTTAGGCAGGAATAGAGTAAATTAATCTATGAGACCTTGGGCGTGGTCAAATACATCAATCGAAAGAGTTTGACCTCCTGAGCCCAAAACTCTAATTAGATCTCAAATCGGTCAAGAGATGATGGAGCTATGAGCTAAAAGTTCATACTATGAGCCGCTTTGCCTCGGCTAAAAATTGCCTCGGCTACAAAAATAAACCATTCAGTTTCTGTAGATTTAGCTTTATCTTTAATAATTTATTTTGTATGGAAGAAAATTTTAAAGTATTTTACTCTTGTGTTAATATAAACTTTGCGCCTTTATTATTCACTTAATTTTAAACATTTTTGAACATGAATCGAGTAGAAAAGTAACGTTTTCCAAAGGAAGATGATCAGTAAGGGAAAGACTCCCATCGCAAGCTCTGCTTACAAATACCTCAGTGACTGTTTACTTCTTTCTCTTATAACTAAAATATTAACCCTTTCACATCCAGGTGGTTCTTTACAAAAATGTCTTCATAATTGTCACGTGATTCTATTATACGATTACAAAATAGAACTATGGGTAGGAAAATAATGAAATAGTATAGTAGCTAAATAAGATGATGTATTCGAAAATTTAGAAAATGGAAATTTTTTTAGAGCTGATATATTTTATGGAATAGATTGAAGCTGGCTCAGTGACGGTATAAATCTTGTAAAGTTAAAAGGTTTACTGAATAATACATGTGGTACAGAATTCAGCCCATGCTTGTTTATGTATTGCGATGTTTGCAAGCTGCAACTTTACACTGTTTTAAATGTTAATGACCTAAAAAACAGCCTTCACAATTTGATTAAAATACGAAAAACCTATGACAATCCATGCAAGGTTCAAAAGGAATGGCAAGTAAACTATACACCGACAATAGTGCCTGCATAAAACATAAACCTATACACAGGAAATAGTGTCTACATAAAAAAGTAAACCTATACACAAGCAATAAATAGTGTCTACATAAAAAGGTAAGCCTACAGACAGGCAATAAATAGTGTCTACATAAAAATGGTAAACCTATACACAAGCAATAAATAGTGTCTACATAAAAATGGTAAACCTATACACAAGCAATAAATAGTGTCTACATAAAAATGGTAAACCTATACA